TGTTACTGTCTGCTGCTGTAGCCCTTTGTTCAGCATGAATTGCATCCTGGGGAACTCCGCCAAAGATAACGTGAACAAGTGCACAAAACTGCAAGTCATATCAGGAGAACTTGTTTCTACATTTCATGCAAGAAAACCATTAAAAATTTTTTAGTAGCTTTCAGAGGTGAGGAGCCTCTACCACTTTAAAGGACAATACATTATGTGCTAGGAGGAAGTGAGTGAGCAAAATACATATTTTACTCATCATGTGAGCAGTAAACACCCTTTTAAACAATGGAAGGTACGTTAGTCACTAATCTGCTTATTTTGAAAGTGATCTGAGCTCCTTGAATTTCATTTGAACTAGTACTAGAGGAATGTCTTATTCTAATTAAGTACATAGATTACCATAGTAATAAACTAATTCTGTTGTTACAATGTGTATGTTACAATTAGGGCTCATGATAATGAAGATAAAAGGAACCCAGCTGAGAGAGAGAAAATACTTTAGTATTATTTCTCTGCTGAAGACTACCAAACCAATTTGAAATTGCAAGTTGCTAAATCCATAGATTTCAAAACATTCCTTGACACAGACTAAGCAGAGATTAAAGAAATTCTACAGCTATTCTCTGAAATTCCTGAAGTCAAATATCATTGTGCAGTCAAAGGACTCACTCCTTTGATAATGCAGTTCCAAATTATCAAGAAGTCAATCACCTAAGTGCTAAAAAAATACTTTCTACATATTCATAATGGTCTTATTAGAAGATGATGCTTACATAGAAAGAAAGAACTGCAAAAGGTCTCATCCAAGCCTGCTTTCACAAGCAGATATATTATATAACTCGTTCATAAAAGGACCAGAACCTTAAACAACCTTTAAGTAGTTACTTCTGTCCCAGACCTTGCTTTTCTTACCAACCTTGCTCTATATTCCAGGCTGGATTCACTATTTCCAGTTAGGTCAATATTATTGTTCCAACATTAGAAAGCATTACCTTGCAAAAGATACACTCCCTATATATATTCCAAATAAAACGTTTTGACTTAGAAAAAAAAAACAACAACCAAGCGTCACCGCATCTTCCTGCTAGTTAGCCTGCAGGAATCATGCTAGTTTATAGAAAATGAGTTAGATTTGACAGAATTGTTTATTAATTTCCAGGCATAATATGTGTTCTGATGCATTAAGTACAATAACTTTGCATAAATTCCTGAGAGTGAAACAGGTCTTGCAGAGCTTTCATCAGAGGTGCTTTGGAAGCAGTCCAGCTTGACTTTCAGAATGAATCTGTAGGCATCAGAGTGAGGCAACTTCTTAAGAAAGCACATGTAATGCAACAGTTACTGATGGTCAATAAACAGAAGACCTAACAATGCAATTTCAATGCAAATGCTTCTCAAACCGGAACGCAGTTTAACCGCAGTATTGACATTTAAATGGACGTAAGACAGCCCAATGAAGGTAAATGTGAAGGTATGTGCTGATCACCTTTTATCAGCTGTTATCTTTTTTTTTTTGCCAGTTTTCTTGTATACAGTAAAGGAAAGTTCTTCCCATATTAATACTGAAATCTGTTATTCCATCAACATTAGAATGAAAAAAAGAAAAGAATGAAAGATGAGTAGTACACTTTGTACTCTGCCAATATGGATTTAGCTGCTTTACCGTAAATTCTTGGGCAAGTCTTCCTATACCTTATTCCTTCTCTGTAGCCAAGACTATCTGTATTTCATCATAATCTCATAAAAAGGAACTACTAAAAGTCATAAATCAAGAGAGGTTGGACCATCACTACCAAGGCTGGATAACAGGTTCCAGAGGTTGCAAGTACAATACAGGAATACTAGCTCAGGTACTGAAAGCTGGTCTACCTTGACAATCCTGCTTACAGTTCAGGACATACAGCTTGTTCACGTATCCCTACATCACAGTCAAGTGAGCACTGCCTAAAGGTATTATGTTCCCATTTACCTTAGATACACACCTCACTTTGTTAAGCTTATAATAAAAAAAAAATATATATAAAGAGTTTTGATGAAACAGAACTGTTTAAATATCCATCTTGTATTGGTTCATAAAGCTGCCTCACCATATGGTTTCTAATTGTTTTTAATTATATATAAGATGCAAGGTATAAACTCACTAGAAAAGCATAGATAATGAAAAGAAAGACATATGGAGAAAACATCAACAGAAAAGCCTGAGAAGGTAAAAGTACAAAGTAATAAACACAGATCCTATAAGAAAGAGCTCGCAGTCGTATTGTGGACACTAGAATTCTCGTGGTAACATTGCACAGCTGCATGTGCCCATTTTGAGAGGTAAAACATTAGCACGGCATGATTTTAAACAGTAAAGCCAAGTTTGTCCCTTCATTTTCACATCGCACAAACCAAAGATTCGTGGTGCATAAAGCCTTTTGAATAGGTCACTTAATCAGTCCTGTACATCTAATACACCAGCTGCCTGGGGGTCTGGACAGCAGCGAAGTATCCCAAGTTCAACCCTAAAGTAGCTCTACCTCTTCCTTCTCCTAACACAGGGACTGCAGCTACTATAACTTAAAGTTACCACCTTTGCATCCTTCGTAAAGTTTACTTTATAAACCTCCTCCCCAACATATTAAAGCTATTAAAAGAGTGGATCAGTACTTCAAAATATTCTGGACTGAAAAGTACTTGGCAGGTTTTCTAGTTGTTTTGTTTTTAAACACACTTCAATTCAATAGCCCATGTGAAAAGTTCAGGATAGCTGGTCACTTTTTTGTCATTATATTCATAAATACAGCAAGTTGTTATTGTTTCTCCTCAGCTAGAAAGGAGAGATGCCACGTGAAATCATATTGTACATGTACTTGCAGTGTCCATATATCACTTCTTTCTGTCAGATTTCTTTACAAGGAAAGCTGTGTTAAAAATTCTATTTTGCAAAAGCTTAAATTTAAACACATCCATGTTGAGATGACTTCCAACAGCTGGGTGAATAACGATGCATCATAGTATGTCAGGTAAAGCTGAAACAGCTCAGAAAATAAATGGAACAGCATAAGTTTACATAAAGACAGATTTTTTTTCTCCCTGTAGACATATTTTTTTTTAAAAAAAAAAGAATCCAATCACTCAGTCTCTTTCTGTTCACTTTCTTACAAGAATAAGTGGTATAAGTATTCCTGAAAGGTGAATTTGAGTCTCAAGTACCTTAAATATTTGTTAAAAGCAAACTTCTAATTATGTTACAGATTTAGATAAAATCCTTTTAATGCATAGAAGATGACAAAGAATTTCTGTAATCAATCATTATAGTTTAAATACTGTTGTCAAAATGTTGAATATTTACAAAGCACTGGCCATTGGCTTTCTATATACAAGAACAAATTTGCAAACAACTGCAATGAAGAAATACAGAATAATATAGTATTTCACCAAACAGTAGTGTTTCAAGTATGATCACGTATTCCTTCTAACTGATCTGCACATCATGACTTGAAGGTGATCTATTGGTCCCATGTGTTTAAAGAAAAGCTTTATTGTACATGAGCAGTTACAATGCTATATGCATCACTGATTTAAAATTTAAAAAAAAATGCTGTCCTAGAAATTTACGTTAATATGTTCTTACAGTAGCTTAATCGAGTACTCATTACTAAGTACCACATCTACATAGTATGACTTGTACAAAATTGAATTTGGAACTACTCAGAAACACCAGCTGCAAAAAAAATAGAGTATTTCCTTACAAAATTCTGTCAAATCAGCATACTCCTTCAGAAGCATCTATTACTATCCATTATCTGATCCCAAAGGATAGACCTAGAGAAATCGTTATTAAGTTTTGAACCCTATTCTATTACAAATATTCAGTATCATGGGAATACTCTGAGCATTACTCCTTATTTTGCTCTGGAGACATGACCTAAAGGAACCATTCCATTTCAAGTGTATCAAATAACAAAACACAGACCTGTTTCTCAGTTTTTCTTAAGCAGTATGGTCCATGAAAACAAATAATATTTTTTTCTTTCATCAATTCATATTTGCCTCGATTTATACATAGGTTATGCTCTGCATCACAATTGTTTCCAGCTATGTATTGCAGACAAATAGGGAATGATGAATTTTTTTTCCTAAATTCTTAAACTGCTGTTTACATAAGAAAATAACTTACTTTGCAAATCTGCACTATCAAACTGTGCACTTTAAAGACCTGGCAAGTGTAAAATTAGCAGGTTTGGAATTACAGGGTTTGAGCAATAAGCTACTGTAAAAGATAAATACAGACAGCAAGCCAAAACACTAAGAAACAACACTTAATATTGAAGGAGGCCAAGTAAGTAGCACCTTTTTTAAAATAAAAATAAAAAAGAATTCCTTAATGGCTATTGTAATTAATGTGCTAGAGCTTATAATTTCAGCCGCAGTTCACAACTGTAACAAGGTTGTCCTCGTCATAGAAAAACTGTCTTCATTCCTCCCCAATTCTTCTGCCTAATCATTTGTAGGCAAGGATTGAATATATAGTATTGGACAAAATAATCCATTTCTAGTCATCACAATGAAAAAAATGGATTTTCCACTGACTTGGTCACCTGTGTATCTCTCCACCAGAATCTGAGAATTTAAGCTATTTCACTGCAATTCCTTTCTCTTTGCTATTCAGGAAATTGCCTACTAACATCTAGTTTCAGATAATGCTTTTCCTACCATAGGCCGAGTCGCCAAAAATAAATTGACCTGACTTACATGGAGTTTTTGAGGAAAGCTGAAAGACAGACCTAACGAAAAAAGTAGTATCAAACCACTTGCTTTGACTAGCAAATATATGAAGTCCGCTCATAAAAAAAATAGCACAGAGGTATTCACCAGGTTACATTCTGCATTGTACTATAGCCACTTTAAACTGATGAGGGAGATTTTATATATATTTTATCAACCACTCCCAGAGTTTTGCAGAGTTATGTTTATGAAAGGTTAACAGCAGGCACTAATACCAGTATCATGACTCTTTTCAGGCAGTAGGTGAAACCTTGAAGAAAAAGTGGCTCTGTCTTCAAAAAAGTGACCTGACCTTTGCTTTGGTGGGTTTTTACTCTGCAAGAAATAAAAAGCACTGCATGCTTTCCAATGCATCCTTTCTAGCTGATAAACTATTTTGTTCTAGCACTCGGCACAAAAGGACTACGTTTCATAAAGATCAAATAGCATGTCACTAGTGCTAGCTAACGATAGCTCCATGCGTCATACTAGAAACAAGCTTCATAGACCTGGAATATTGCATACGAATCATGAAGAGAGTTAATACGTAATTAGCCAACCTTTGATATGCTTACCAATCAGAAGTAATTCGCATTGAATTAAATATATTTAATTTTACAATGACTTTGCAGTTCTTTGGATATCAAAGGCATCACAAATCCAGCATGCTTATCATTTATGACACTTCTGCTCGGAGAATTTCTTGCAGCATGCAAAGAACTCTCTGTAGGGTGACTGTGATGTGTTGCACAAGCAAGCCAACCTAAGACTGACCTGACGATTAGTAAAATCTGTTCCAAAAACACAACAGTATGTAATGTTTTTACCTGCAGTTGATGAAATGCTCTGAAACAACCTGTAGTTCTGCATAAGCAATAGTGGGGTTTTATTACTGGACACAGAATACAGGGCTAGAGAAACTAATTCTAGTATATGGTGTGATAGTGAAGAACCCCTTCTGCTAATAGACTTTTAAGTATATAAATATATTTAAGTCTAGTATAAAATACTGCTTTTATGGAGCCAGATCCTGCAGTCTTTGCATGGCTAAAAATTCCATGGAAATCAAAGGGATCTTCTAAAGTATAACAGTAAGGACGTGCCCAGGGTCACCAGCATAATACAGTTCTGCCACTACGCTTCTTGTGTGCGCTCAGACTTTCTCTGTCGCTTGCAAGAGTGTCAGAGATCAAAATACAGAAATCCATGGGAATTCAAGAAGATAAATACCTTTCTTAAATAAAGAGTATGGCTTCAAAGACAGTATGAAACAGTGCATTTTTTGTTTGGCTAAAATACTAAATTATTTTAAAATATTTTAAATTTGTCTTGAATATTTGCAATATATTAAGTGAATTTTAAGAAAAGTGAAGTGTAAAAAAATCCTTACAGTAAGTTCAAAAACAGTGACCATTTTTGGGAGAACTGTAGCAACGCCTATGATGGCAGAATTTGGCTCCATATATTCTGTTAGCAAAAAACCCAGACTGTTAATATGATGTAAATTGCTTTTTAAAATGTTACTAGAGCTACAAACACTGCGGGCCTAGCCCTACGGGTTATACATTCAAATTTCAGAGAGAGTTTGCCTCAGTGAACTGCAGGGAACTGTGCTTTATTTGCAAAATCAGCTCGATGTTATTTTTAAGCAAAACCCACGTATTCCAGATATAAACTTTGCAATAACTAAAATTAAATCAAGGGATTGATCCTCCAGATCTTACTCCTGTGGAGATCCTATCCTGCAGGAGGTCCAAATCATTCTGCTTGCACTGGAGTATTTCCAGCCAGCCTTGCCCCAGCAAGGCAGCGCCGTATTCCCGTTGACTTCATTGGGGCAACTCTTAACGAGTCACTAGACCATGGCTAGACCCCAACCGCATTGTTAACAGGTTCAGAGATAATTATTATTAATTTCAAATAATGTTTGTGTATTCTACTTCCAAGCAAGCTTTGCTTCCAGCTGTAAACACCGTCAGTTTAATGACGGGATGGTTCTGGGGTGTGTTTTTGGGAAGCGGTTGTTGCCAGGCTCGCTGCTGACTCGCGCCATTGTTGATTTCACTGTTGTAGGGGAAAGGCTCTAGGGCGGCAGATAAGGCTGTTGCCATGGTGATGAAGGAGATTCCGAGGGAGGAGTCTGCAGAAGAAAAGCCCCTCCTTACTATGACATCACAGGTGGGCGGAGCGCGGGGCTCAGAGGAGGCCGCGGACACAGCGCGAGTTACGGCTGCATCTCATGGGAGATGCGAAAGCCCCACGTGAAACTGCACACACGGTCCGAGGGGACCCTCACCTGCTCCTTAGCTTCCCTTCCCTGCAATTCCCGCTCTAGCGGTGCTGGTTAAACCCATCTGCTGGAGGATCCCACGCCAATGTCACCACTGACATGCAAAAAAAATAACGTGGGGTAAATAACGTAATCGCCTGGGGGTTTAGATATTTTAACACGAGAATTTAAACAAAAATGCATTTTTCTCCAAATAAAGGGATTTGTAGAGCACAGTATGTGTCAGTTACCAGAAAGTTATCTAAAACTGATTTAAAACGTCAACTGTAATTCATGCCACAAATATTCACATTCAATGCATATACAAAATAAGAAACCACCATTTCACAGTAGTATCATTTTCAATCTCAGGTCCCATCTCTAAAGCTCTCACTGAGATTCTAGTCCTGGTCCAGGTCAGAATATGTGATTCTGCACACCTCATTGCTTTCATTTCTACAACTTCAGTTGAAGGACGGACATAACATCATCACACTGAACTTTACGCCTTGGAGCACCCATCAGCCTTAGGTGGTTTCGTTAGTTCATTGAAGACCATAACTGAACATTTCTGTAACACTTAACACTTCCACCTTGCCACAAGAGTGGATTTTATTCCCTTCTGTTGCTCAAATACATGAATTTGTTCCCCAAGCAAGTGCATTCAGTTTAGCGTTAATATTTAGCCCGCACAGGTTGTTCCTACTCAATAGGAGGTTTAATGGAAACACTCTTACCACATAATTGTTGTTACGTGAGACCCTTCAACAAAATCCACAATCCTGTTTTATTCCTTTCATGTTTTAGGAGAGCAGCAACTATACTTTTTCAAGTATTTAAGATGCACACAAGGCCAGCACATACCTCTCCGAGTGCATCACAGGTGCACTGCACTAATACACACACACACACACACACACTATAGGAACATCTTTAACTACTTCGGAAACCAGGTCTAGCAATCTCCTCCTCAGCCCCTGTCAAACACCATGTTTTGCTTGTGTTGAATTCTGATGTCTATGAAGTAACACCACAAGTGAAAAGGATGCTCTATTTAAGGCACCATTTCATATTCTCTACTAAATGATTAGCAAACAGTAAGAAGCCAATATAAAATGCTGACCCCTCCTCTCATGCCCCAACCCCTCAAAACAAGTGCAAAACGTCCATTGGTTTCAACAGGGCCAGGAGTTCAGCCTGGGTTCGTTAGATATTTAATGCACCATTTGCAGTGGTTGTCTGTCAGTCTACTCAGCAATAGTCTATGATAAATTTATGAGTAAAATGCTTGTGTCTGTTAGTATAATTTCTTCCACTAAACACAAATACCTACTTCCCTGATATGCACCAAAGGGGTGCAGAAGCCAAAAGGAAGCAGAATCAAGTGAAAAAGTGAGTATTTTCCATAGCCATCTCTGCATCATGTATGTGTGATGTGCAGTTGTATGACCATATTGCATACATCGTTTGTATCCCAATTGTCTGGCTGCAATGTTGTTTTGAGATGCTTCCTCCTCAGTGTGTCCGTGTAAACCTCTTGTTCAGACCATCCATTCAGAGTAACGCGCCGCTATATTGTGACACACATTCAGCCATCACCATCAAAGTCTTTGTCTCTGCTCTTTACATGATGAAACAGATGGATGTGGTTGCTGCTCCCAGGGTGAAACATGCAAGTTCCAAATTGGCTGCAAACAAGTTTCCCAAGCCAGATTAAATTGGGTCATGAGAATAAAGCCTGGTCCTTCCAGAGTTATCACCACCACTGAACCCAGTACAGGCACGTGTATATCTTAGGAAGGAATTATATACATTAGGTATCTATGTTGCTCCATCCCTACAAAACTAAGCAAGAAACCTGCAAGTAAAACACAAGGATCAAGCCCAGACAGAGGAGTACTAGCTTTCCTAAAAGAGAAAAAAAAAAAATTTAAAAAGGTGAATTTTCTAAAATCTTTGATGAATGGAGGATTAGTCATGTCTGACTGTGGAAGCAGACTCCACAGGAATCATAAGTGGAACCTGATACACAAAGAAGAGACTGTAAATCCTCATTTTGAAACAGTGATAACATAGGGAGGGCCCTGAATTTATATTTTAAGAGATGCCTCTTTGCTCTCTTCCTCTGGAAAACGTTAAAAACATACCCAACACAGAACAACTCAGATAAATATTCACATTTTATTATTATGCTCCTGCTTGTAAATTACGGCACTTATTTGTTGACGTACAGTGAATTAAGTTTTGATGAAGTTTCCAATTCACGGATATTTTATATCATCAGGTATTATTTCTTATCATCAGGTCTGGAGATACATCTTCAAATAACTTGAAGCAAAAAGTTATTGCAGATTCCAGTGGGGCTATGCCAATATATGGCAACTGGGGATCTTGACCATCATTCCAGCAGGAAAAAAAAAAGGAATGAGTATACTACAACACATAGATGGGTATTCTTGGTAATTTCAGTATCTATTTTTTGTGATTTTATCTCAATTATTTGCAATCAAAGTCACTTTCTTGGGGTGAGAAAGCATTTAGTAGTTGTCAAATTTAATACTTCAAGCATCAATAGAGAGTGAGTTTTCAATACTAATGGGGTTTTATAGAACATAACTCTATACTATGTTGCTGTCTCCCTTTATCTTTTTAGAGATGATTCAGAAGAGATTGGAACAAATGAAAAAAGTTTTTTTTTATATTAATAGAACTTAGAAAAAGTGAAAGTTTGCTGAAAGTTCAAAGATCAGCTGGAGTTTAAGCTATGAGTAAATATACAGCTAACAAAAGCAGAGAAATAAATGAGGAAAATTGTGCATAAAAGTTTGATTTGAATTCCAAAATAAAATTTTTGTTTAACCTCTTCACAGCTTCTTTGCATTTTTCAAGAGAAAAATTAACTTCAGAATTACTTTCTAATAAGAAATTTAAACCTAAATATCCCCGGGAGTCAAAGTTTAATTGTACAGTTAGCTATGAAATTCCCAATTTACTACAGGTCAGTGAGCTTCAAAAGATCTCATTCAATGAAGTACTTTGATCCACGCTTATACATTAAGATATGATTAACTGCTTTATTGAGCAGTAGAAAAGTGCATGCTCAAATGCCTTGCCAGCCTGGTTTTAAATAAACAAATCTCACAGTGTCACAGGAGTTATTTGTCCCAGATTCATCACACCTAATTTAGATTCTTCATTAGAGCACATAAATTGGAATGCTAGTGATAGTAGGATCCCTATAAAGATAATAGAAAGAAATAAGACCTGCAGGAGGTGATTCATGTCCAAGATGTTCCTGTGGCAAATATACTCTGATATTATATGGAACAAAAATAGAGTCTATGAAAAATCCACCAATAAGAAAAAGAAATACCAAGTATATCTTGAACGCTATCCCCACTTCTGTTTGTAGCTGAAAAATATGGGAACTGTCACAGTACAATTTTGATGTTGAGTGCTTATAATTTATAAAGTTAACCTGTAGAACACTTAGTTTTAGAATCTGAACTGGAAAGAAGACATTTTAAAAGCTGAAATTACGTTTTAAGAAGCATGCGGAAATTCATCCTATCCCATGAAAAATGCAGGCTACAACACACAAGTTGTCCAAAAAAAGACATATGTTTCGTGACTACACTTCAATTAACTCCACCAGATGCTTAAGAATTTTTATAGTCTGAGATATTAGTTAGTATTCAGAGTAGGAATTTTCTTTTAATAGTTTTTGGGTTGATTTTTGAAGTGAACTTCATTTGCATGCCATTTGATGATCCAACCACATTTATATTTGCTCAAGGGCTTACGAGTAAAATACAAACATTTCCACTGTCTAAATTCCAGTGATTTTTTTTTCTTGGTTGGTTATGCTTTTTGTTTTGTTCAGGGGGTTGGTTGGTTTTTATTGTTTTGTTTTGAGTTGTTTGTACTTTTTAACTATGATAGGAAATACTCCAAATGCCTCCTTTCCACTTTATAAAGGAGACAGAGTAAAGATAGTTAATACGCAGCTCTCAATGTTGTTAGTAGATTTTCTGACGTGTATCGAGGCCTCACTACATGAATTTGATTGCATAATCACAGTTTTCCATATCAAAACTAACAGTCTCCTTTGAATCAATCCTGTTCATTCTAAGCTTCTTGGCATCGAATTGACTTACAGCCCACTCCATAAATGTTTACTAAATAAAATTATAACAGAATGGCAGAAAGTTAAAGTGACTGTAATTAGCTTCTGTTCTCTTTTATACCAAACCAAACCACAATCAACTCCATTTTAACTAATTAATATAAATTAATCTAAAAACAAAACAAACCACAAACCAAAAAATCATGTCAGTTTTAGACAACAACAAAAATAAAGTTTGGACTACAATAATTCACTGTTCATTCCAATTTGCCCTTTGAAACAGTGGCAGTTTCCTCACTGATCTTAGGAGGACTTCACCTGAGATCATATTTTTATATTCTTTTTAAAGCATTAATGACAAATCCATTAGCAGTAGTTTCCATACATCTCAAACCTCTTGTTTGATTTATTATAAGACTTTTGAGTAGTTCAGCAGAAGACACTACTTAAGTCCTCCTGAAAACTCTTTTTTTTTTAATCTATTATTAAAACAGGGTAAATACAAGAAGAGTAAAAAAGAAAATACAAAATGCATAAATGCATGCTTAGCAGTACAAATATTAATTGATTCTTTACCTCTAAGTTAAATATTGCTCAATGCCATTATAGCTTTTAGGGCAGTATGCATATTTTCAGCAGAAATATTCTCATGAGTATAATAAAGTTGCCTTGACAATATGCTTAAAAGTCATTAATTGGCTGCTTGCCTAAAGTTATACAGATTTGTGCCACATAAATTAAGTAGATTTTTTTCCACGAAATAACACTTTTAATTTGAAATTA